CTATGTATGTCTTGTCTGCAGATTCCCCTCTTCTGGTGCGGAGAGGTAAGTGAGGGACGGTGAGGATGGGAGGGACGGTGAGGATGGAAGGATCCCCGTTCGGAGAATTGTCCTGACCCAGCCACGCCACCGGCGTGCGAACGAAAGCGGTGGTGGGCGTCCGAGAGCCAGCCATACGGAGTATGATAGATGAAAGTATATATGCCCTTCGGGACGAAAGCAGAAAGAGGAAGAATAGACCAAGGAAAAAAGGCTCGGGGTTTTTTTCTTCTGCCTCTCGGTACTTCTCTGCTCTCCCCCCTCCCCCCCCCCCCGTTCTTGTCGTTGATGATTCTGATACCGTCATCTGTTTGACATGAGATTGCGGCGTCGGGCTTGGATCGCCATCAGAGAGGTACTACTACTAAGTATGTGCAGCCCGATCAGTCCATGACATGACATGACTAGGCAGCGGTCGAGGGGCCCCGGACGGGGCTGACACGACGTGGTGCCGCCGCTCGAGCTCCCCTTCATTGTCCTGTGACCACCAGACCGACTTGGGCCCGACGAGGGCCCGAAGATGAAGACGACGACGACGACGACGACGATGAGCACAGCGCTGACCGAGAATTCGGACTTGCTGGGTTGGCTAGCGGGCGGGCGGACGGGGGCCGGGGGGCGGGGGGTTGATCAGCGACTTTGCCTCGGCGATTAGGGCTGAGATCATCTGCTTGGGCTGAGTGAGTGAGTTGTGAGTTGAGTCTTGATGCGTTGTTCGACAACGGGCAAAGAAGAGCTCATCTGACTATGGGTGATCTGCTGCGCGTATGCTCGGGGAGCACGCAGATACATCTTTACTAAGCGACTCGATGGATGGTCTGATAGCCTTGATAGCCTGGTAGTCTGATAGTCTGATAGTCTGATAGTCTGATAGTCTGATGGTCTGATAGACTGATAGGTACCGGGAGACTACGAGGTGATGGTCCCCGAGATTGACGATCCACCTTCCGTCTTCCGTCTTCCGTCTTCCGTGTTCCAGCTACGACCGTACCTACCACCTACCACCGACCACCGACCACCGACCACCGACCACCGACCACCGACCACCGACCTCTGGCACCTCGCCGACCCGTCCCTCCCATTCGTCCCGAGGGCGTCCGCGTGCGCGCTGTCCGACGGTGCGCGGTGCACGACAGGCAGGATCCGGATCCCTCTCGCATGCTGCTTGCTGGCCAAGGGATAGGGATTTGCAGGCGCGGGCGCACCGCAGATGGACTCGAGGCACAGGGACTCATGTTCAGTGCAGGGCAGGGCAGGCAGGGCAGGGCAGGGCAGTGCATGTTTAGGTATTCGGACGCGTGGGATGAATGTCATTTGCGTGGTTGCAGTGCAGTGAGTGCAGTGCAGTGCAGTGCTGTGCTGTGGCCGGCCTGTGTGAGATCAGACTGTGATGCATCGAATTGTTAAGCAGATAGGGGGGAGGGGGGCACTCCAGTCGCTGCTGGGGCCCGTGGGGGGGGGGGGGGTTGGTCGAACACGAGAGACGAGAGACCGACATACTACTACGTACGTAGTAAGTATGGGAGCCCAAAAAAATCCCATGCCCACATTGCCATGCTTGCTTGCCATGCCTCGGGAGCTTGGCCCTTGGGTTAATCTGTTGCATCCAACATCCCTCTCATCTCATGGTGGTGCAGAGAGGAGGGTGTAATGATGCCCAATCCTTTGCCGCATGTCGACACGGGCCAGGATACCGAGGTATAGTAAGGTAGGGGGGATGGTGGTCTGGGGATGGTCTGGGGATAGGGATGGGGATGGGGATGGGGATGGGGATGGGTATGCTGTATGCTGTATGTAGTATGGCAATCTGTGAGACGGAGATGTGAAATTGGGACGCTGAGTGAGTGAGCGAGTGACTGACTGACTGACTGACTGACTGACTGACGGACTGACGGACTGACGGACTGACGGACTGACGGACTGACGGACTGACCTTACTACCTAGAGTACCTCAGCAGTTGTAGCGGTACCGGTGACCTTCAGCTCACCCGCACCCGCACCCTCACCGTTACTTTTGTTTGTTTTTGACAGCGGCCGACCACCCAACCACCCAAACCACCCAAACCACCCAAACCACCCAGACCACCCAAAACCCCCCCAAACCCCCCAAGCCCCAGCTCCGGATAATCTATCACCCGCTGGGTTATCTCCCACGCGGTCGACATGGGCATGGGAAGCGATTCCCTGAGATCCGGAACTGCAAGGATGTTGCTGACACTTGGAGAGATTGCGCGGATCGGATCCGGATCCGGATCCGGAGAACGAACGAACAAACCAGCCAACCAGCCAACCAACCAACAGCTCGTCTGAGGTTCAAGTGCCGCTGAGATGTCGCTGACGCGCTCGACTGTAGCTGGGTGGTAGGTACTACGTAGGTCGCTCGGCCGGAGCTGAGCTCGGCATGGAAGACGAGGTACATATACGGCATATATGTATATATATACATACATACCTACATACATACATACATACATACATATATATATATATATATATACACACATCTACTCGAACCGTGGAACGGTCGTCCAGGTACAGGTACTGTGCAACTACCCACCGTAGTAACCCTAACTGCTCCCAAGAAACTGCACCATGGTGCAGAGACAAGAAATGCAAAAGAAAGTCTAACAGGGGTCGTGGTCGTGGTCGTGGAACGGCGGACCTGACGCTAAACCAGCGGTGAATAAGTAAGCCCTTCCCCATCATCGCTGACTTCACTCCCAAACGCCAAATCCACACAACCATAACCATAACCATAACCATAACCACAACCGCAACCGCAACCACAACCACAACCACAACCACAACCACATCCACATCCACATCCACATCCACAACCACAACCACAACCACAACCACAACCACAACTACAACTACAACTAACCACTGCCACCACCACCACCACCACAACTCCCACCGCCGTACACCGCGTCGCAAGTACGCAATTCCGCACACACCCAAACATCCGCCCCTCCTCTCTCTCTCTCGGACCCCAAAGCCAATCTCCAGTGACTCTTTCTTTCGGATATCCACGCGCCCCCGACCTATTGCATATCCATCCCCCACGGCGTCTGCGCATCTACAAAGCGACGCCCCTCCCCTCCTCTCCCTCTCTCTCCCCGCGCGCGACAATGGCCACCTCGTGTCTGCACAACGACTGGCAGATGCGCTTTTAGCATTGACACAGCATCTCGTTGTGGAAAGAAAACAACAGTCTCGGCATTTTCTCCGCCATCTACGACGACATGTCTCTGCTCGGAAGGCTACTCTCCGGCGCCGGCACGTCCATCTCGTCACCACGCCACCCGCTCGACTCACATCTGGAGGATCAATTCACCTACAATCTCTTGTTCCCCGACCCCGAAGCCCTGTGCCACAATGACGACCAGGTCTTCCCGCTATCCTCCGCCACGATACTGCCCCCCGCCGCATCTAGGGACGCGGACCTCAATGGGGAGGTGGATCTGGAGATGCGAGACGTGCGAGTCATCATCATGCAGGAGACCACCCCGGCGTCGGGCTCTTCCTATCTACTCTACGACAGCCATTCCCCTTCTCCCCCGTCGCCGTCGTGGGACCGACCGGCGTTCAACGGACCCGCATATCCCGCCCAAGAGGCTCGTGGGGCCATCACCGCCCCGCGGAAGACGAGTGTCGGACAAGCTTCTTCTCGGCCAGCCATCCCTCAAGAACCTGCCACTCCCACACCCCGGGTCTTGGGTGCCTTTGCTGGCCGAAGCCAGCACAGAAGAAACCCCAGCTGCTCCGAGACGGAAGGGCAGCGCTCGGCCAGAGAGTACAAGGAAGAGGTGACCTGGTTCGCGAACTACATGTTTGGCAACTCAGATGTGATGGCCTACAAGGGAACCGGGACGAAGGTTCACTACCTTCCCCCGGAGTCCCGGCCGCCGCTCCCTTCGACCTCGTACCTGCCAGACGGCTCCCTCGGACGCTCCAGCATGAGGAGCAGCAAGCTGGCACACTCTTTCACCTCGGACACGGTGCATGGGCCGACACCAGCCGTCTTCACGAGCTCCAGCACCGCGAGGGCAGGGGACAAGCGAAAAGTCTTGATCACCCGCATGTTCCCGGTCCCGCTACCCAATGATGAGACGGAAGACGTGACCCAAAATATCACGCCGACGCCGCAGAACAGTTCCCAATCACACCAGACTGCGGGGTACCCTTTCCCTCAGGTCACCGGCGGTAGCACACCTGCGGCCGAGAGGAAGACCCCTCAACCGAAGCAGAAGAGAACGCCCCTCTACGCCGTCGGCTTGATCGTCAACCTACCCCAGACGGCCTGCCATGCCCCCTCGGCGACCACGTCACGATCCAGCTTCCGAGCACCAGGCTCTTACACGGAGCAAGAATCGCTCTCGTCCTCCTTTAACTCCGGACGCCGATCGGGTTGGACCATGCTCGGCAACGGGTTCGGGATTGAATCGATGGACTCGTCTTTCTCGAGCGAAGTGGAAGCCGATCGCATCGACATTGTCACTCCCCACTGGGACATCATCATGCGGACCATGTCTCATCTCCAAGCGGTGGCCACGACGTCGCTGTTGCCCCTGCTCAAGCAAGCGGACATCAGCTCGCCAGATCCTCGCAGAGACTCGCAGACCCGGGCCCCCTCGGCAAGCGTTTCGATCGCCGGCAAGCGCGTCGCAGAAGATATCAAGCCTTTTAAGATCCCCAAGACGAATGCCAAGATGGTGTCGCTCACCCCGCATTGCCTCGCGCAAAGCCCGCGGATACAGAGGGAGGCCGATGCAGCGCGTCAACGGATTGTCAATGGTCTCAGAGCATACCAAGTGGTCACCGGACAGGGACGATGGGGCATCTGGAGAGAAGAAGCGCGACTCGTGGGCAAGTGGGCTGGTAGCAAGGACGAAGGCTTCTTCTTCTTCAACCTGCTCACCGGCTTTTTGGGTAACCACACCGAATGGCTGCAGGCTCTGGGGCCTTCGTGGTATCGTCGAAAGCATTCCCAGCAGCAGCGGGCCAACAAGGATGATGACATCTCCCTTCCCGCCCGGACAATCGTCGTCTCGGACCACAAGGTGATGGCTCGACGACTGATCTTCCTGCTTGCGGCCTTCCTACCGGCGAATCAGCAAGTAACAGCTGCGGGGAATTACCGCCCCAGCACCTCCATCTCCTTCGGAGGATACTCACAATCGCCGCCCAACCACGTACCCATACCGAGAGAAGAATCGCTCCGCCGGAAGATCAACAAACGCGGGAGTGCCGCACGGGGAGCCCACGCGCGAACTTCGAGCTTTCCCAATCAGGTGGTCTCGGGTCTAGGAATCGACATCCACGACCACGGTCGTCGAACGTCGGACGCTGCTTCCATCAAGACTGCGAATTTGCCGATCCCCGGCAGTGACATCCAGGTCAGCAAGAGTCGTGCCGTGACGACCTCGACGGCGACACCGGTGATCACCATGCCGCACTTCTCGACCCGACGGCCGATCAGAGGTACTGGTCCCGTGCCCCGACCAGGAAGTAGTGGGAGTCTGGCAACCGACGACTTGATACGATCTCTGAAGCGAGGGGACAGCACAGGTCACCACAGCAATGGCAGTACCGACTCGCAGGGGCAGAACAACCGATGGAGCAATATTATCAGCGGCTTCTGGGGCAGGCGAGGCTCAACTGCGTCTACTAGCATTGATCCTCAAGCTATCGATGACACGGACATCCACGATGCCCACTGCGGTAGTGGATCTCTGTTGAAGCAAGGGAAGCTGGCCGGCATGGTGGAAGAAGCTGGCCGTAACCCACCCCGGGAGCCCCAGTCGCAGCAGGAGCGAAATTTGAGACAGTCAGAATCTGGTAGTTCCTCGACGGCGAAGCCGGCGGAGGGCGATGAGCAAGATGGCGGTGACGTGACCGAGCAGACCATTGACGTACCGGACCGCGTCCCAGATCCCTCAGGCGCCTTCCAATCCCCCGTCAAGACGTCCATCAATGCGTATGACGGCGTGATTGATATCGATGTCCCTCTCCCGGAGTTCTTGTCCTTCGAGAGTGCCGTCAGCTCGCCTTCCAGCAGCGGTTACTTGTCCACTCCGGGACTCGGAAATGGAATGGAGAGCTTCGAGTACTACGCGCGTCCTGGACCCGATGTGGAAACGACGATGAATGTTGGCGGCTGGCTTCCACGATACCATCCGGACTTTGCTCTGCAAGCAGTTCCAGTTCACGATGGTATCCTGGAAGAGGTCAAGGCTTCACTCCGCGCCGAGCCAACACCTGTCACTGCCACTACGACACCATTTCCCGAAGGAGGTCGTCCAGATCGCTGGGTGGACATCAGCAGTGCTGTGATTGCCAACACCACCAACTTCACCATCAGGCATATTCGGTACCGGCGACTGATCCGACCCCGAGACTTGACTTCAGAAATACCGAGTGTCCCCCACTCCTTCGATTCTCGGTATGGGAATCCGTATTCGGCTGCTCAGCTCACCCCGTCACTCGATGCTACGGATGGATACATCGATGAGCAGTTCATCGAAGAGCCGATCATCTCCATGGACGAGACGCTCATCGAAGCCATCGAGCGTGTCATCGCCCAATCAGGCGACGGGTCCAAGAACTCCTCGCCATGCTCCTCTCGATCCCCTTCTCGCCGGGGCGGTAACAACGAGCGCTCAACTTCCACCACCCGGAGTCTCGGTATGCCCGAACACAAACTCGAGGTCCCCCGAAACGAGTGCAAGAGGATGGTGCTGAGTGCCCTTGAGGAGATCGTGAAGGAAGTTGCAGGGAGTAGGAAGAAGAGGGGGGATACCAAGGAGGATATGGAGCGGGAGAGCTTCTTGAGAGAGGGCGTTCGGAGCTGGCTCTGCAATGTTGAGACGGGCGATGCTTCGCATTTCTAGGCCAACCCCGAGAAATTTGAGGAGAGTAGAGGAGACGATTTCTTTTGTCTGTACCATATGACGGCCTGAGACGACGATAGATACCCAGCCTTTGGCGATCTTTGCTTTTGCGATTTGATTCGGTTTTGAGCTCGTGGAAATCGGCTCATTGTACATTCTCTCCAGATGGGAAGAAAGACTACTGGGTTCTGCAATGCAGAGGGATCCGCATCTAGCGGGATTTGAATTTTGGCAAGATGTTTAGCGAGGTCGTTTGGGCGTTTTTTTTTTTGTTTGTTTTTTTTTCTTTTTCTTTTTCTTTTTCTCAGGTGTGCTCATTTTTGCTCGCCAGTTGGTGCGCGCAACGTGGAAGGGTATGGGGAAAGGGAAGGCCTGGAGCCCGCAGGGCACCGCCAGAGCAGCTAATGGTTGGCTCGGTGGTAATGACTTACTGGCTTAGAGCACTAGATAGAAGATCAATCCTAGGTTTTATAAGCGTGAGCTCAAGTATGGTGATGTCTATCTGGAGCCCCGGGGATTGTCATCGTTATGGGTACCCAGAAACTTGACTTGGTTTGCAGAAGGCTGATGTCAAGCGAGGTCCATAAAAGTGTAATGAACAATCCCGCCGGGGTTAGGGTATTCTATGATGATAGTACGTGGGTTATGATGCCATTATTTTATGAGCGACATTGACATTACAATTTACTGACCAAGTGCTCGCCAATCCCAACCCCAACCCCAGTCGGAATACGCGGGCCGCGATAGAGACGTGGACGTGCTGGAGGGCGTGGGGAAAGTTCCGGCCTTGTCGCAGCAACCCACCCCAACGACGACGACGACGCCGACGACGACAACGACGACGACGCCGACAATAACAACAACTACGACATCGCACCTATTCCGAAGTGACAGCAGAATAAATCACTCACGACTTTCTTTGTGGTCGGTGTAGAGACATCCGGCCATGCGCTCTATTCATTCGTGATTGGAGAGAGCCTCAACTTCCACCATCCAGCGGCCCACCCACCCACCACCTCCCCCGCCCACGACACAACGCGATACGATACATCCCCCTCTCTCCTCCGTACGCTCGCCCCCGTCTGCCTGCTTACCAGCTCACCCGCTCGCTCGCGACTCAGGCATGGCAGCACCTCTATCCCTCCCCAAGGCCGACCCCACGGCAGCCTGGAACTGGACCTTCGGCATCAATGCCACGCAGTACGTGCCCTCCGCAAAGGACCTCGCGCTCGCCGGCCCGCGCATGTTCATGAAGCTCGGCTCGCTCCTCGGTGGCCCAGATTCCGCCAACAGCTTATTCGGAGGTGTGAGGAGGCTGGGTGCGGGAGCTGCTGGACAGAGGGTTATCCCTGGAGCGATGGGAGACCGTGGGGTCGTTGAGGCGCTTACCACCTCTGCTGCTGCTGCTGCTGCTGCTGCTGCTTCTGCTGCTGCTGCTGCGAGACATATCCAACCTGGGGCTGGCATCAGTGCTGGAGCTGCAGCCGGACAGACGATTGGGGTGGGGACGCAGATCTTAGCTACCGCCAACGTGGACGATGCGGCTGGCGTGTTCAGCACGAAGTTTTCCATGGAGGGCGTGAGAAGCCTGGGCAACGTGTTTAGCTACGCGACGAGCAAATGGGCGCTGGCCTGCGTCGTGACGGCCGTCGTCCTCAACCGCACCCTCGTCTACGCGTCCACGAGACGGAACCTGGTGCTCGGCTGGAGAGCCCGCTTCCTGGTCCGCATGCTGCCGATCCTCCTGTTGGGCATCCAGTGCAGGGAGATCCTGCAGTCGATGCAGTGTCAGACCTCCCCGGACTTTGCGGTGCTGAGATGGGGCAATGCGAGCCGCTCGGGCGAGTTGGTGTTTACCCAGGACGGTGGCTTCCTGCACGAGATGAGCCGGTCTCTGCTGCTCGGGGCCGGGGATAAGGAGAGCTGTGTCGCTGTGGGCATGGTGCCGTCTGGGGAGAGCGTCCCGAGGGAGCCGGAGAGGGAGAACTTGGAGGTGAGGGGGAGTCTCGAGTTGTTGTGGCCGCTGTTCAAGACTTTTGCGCTCTCGCAGTTCATCGAGACGCTGTCGTGTGCTGTTGCTGGACGGCAGGTGGCGGGCGAGACGGGCATGACGCTTTTTGAGCACAGTCTTGCTTTCGCGGAGGCGGAGGCGGCAGTGAGCAGCCAGCTGGGTTGGGGCCCGTTTGGGATGGTTGCTTCGAAGGACGGCCGCTTGAACTCCACGAGTAAGGCGGAGGGGCCCAAGATTGCGATTACACGGAGCATGATTCTCAAGAAGGTTAATACTACGCCAGAGGTGCTGCTGATTGGCTTTTTGTCGGCCATGAATCACCTCACGAGCCATGTACTGGCGATCCTCAACCTCCAGAGTCGGTTCCGCCTTGTGAATACGGGCTTCTGGGGGTTGGCGTTCATGGCGGCCATCGTGTCGAGTGCATGGTCGTTTACTGTTGATGATCTGCCGAGCCAGAGCTTGTTGAGGTTCCCAACTGTTTCTATCGTGGGCTTTGTACCTCACGTGCTGGTTCTGTTTGGCATCATTGCCTGCTCGTTGATCTACGCCGCGGCACTCCTGCTGTCGGCGCTGGCTCTTCCAGCTGTCGAGGATACGCCGTCTTCTGGTGAGGTGGCAGCGCCAGAGCCAACTACGTTACGGCGAAGGGTCATTGCTGCTCATCGTAATATGCAGGCAAACGTGCCCTTGGCTACTATACGAATCACGCTCTACATGGACTTCTACACCGCCCTCTTACGAACCGGATTTGCGATGATGACGATGGCGAGCGAAGCTGTGTACCTGAACGAGAGTCGCGGAGTCAACGTCAAGCAGCGAACCTGGCTGGAAGAAGATAGATTGCGGGAGATCGAAGCTGCGGGAGCAAGATGGCTTGGTCCAACCTTTAGACTGAACGACCCGGACACGAGTCTTGCCGATGGCAGGACGGACAATGTTGGTCTGGTGGCCGCTCGAGACCGGCCTATGGAATTACTGCAAAACTCGTCAAGCGGTTACGCGCGAGAGATGACTGCGAAGAACGCTCCGGCGATGGGCAATGGACGAGAACGAGGGCCACCAACCGCAAACGGGGTAGGTGCTACAGAGAGAAGTGGTAGATGGATTATGGCTATGGAGTTCTTCCTTGGCATCAGCCGGTTACTGCTGGGCTGGTGGGCATCCCTCTCTCTGAAGCTTATGGCTAGAGCCGGAATCCAAAGCAGGCCTCGATTGCTTCTATGGCTGGCCAGAATGCCGAAAGTAGGTTTGCCAGCTTCCGCAGCTTCCGAGCAGAACAACACAGACTCGCTTGATTTCTGGCTCAGGGGCCACGATGGCGAGCTGGTACGTCCCCGAGACGACCATGTAGACGTCGAAGTCGAATTTCGGAATGACATGCGCCGCTCGCAGGATCACTGGGACGATTCACGAGAGACGGCACTAGATTCAAGACTCTACGACTGGTTCTTGGGAGGTGGATGGTGGGGCGTTGACGACAACAGCGGGAACTTCAAACCAGCCCAGATCGAGCTCGACGAAGATACAACCAGCGTTGTTTCCTTCTCTACATCTGCCTCTCAACAGGAAGATGCGTGGGAATCTGACCACAGCGCCAACGATGACGGTCGCCGCACACCGACGCAGCAAGACCCCACTTCCACCAGGGAATCGACACCCTTCCTCGACACGCCACTTGGAGCGTCAGATCTCGCGCAGCTTCTGCACCCGAAGACGCCCGAGCAGCGTGCCGAAGCACAGGCGCTGTCGGTCCACCTGCAGAGCGAGGGCGTCGTGACGCGATCCCGCTTCCGCAGCCTCGTGCAGAGGGAGCGGGCCAAGGTGCTGACCTCGAGCCGGCACGACCGGCCCGCGAACTTCGCCGCGTCGTCGCCGACGGGGAGACTCACCCTCGAGGAAGAGACCTGGATCCTGGAACACCTGATCCTCTCCCGTCGGGGTGCCAGGTCCACCTCGGCGTCTGGGCAGAGGAGCTGGGCGCGAGGCGCCTCGGGCATGGGCGAGGGCGGGCCGCAGTGTGTGGTGTGCCAGAGCTCGCCGCGCAGCATCATCGTGTGGCCGTGCCGGTGTCTCAGCCTGTGCGACGACTGCCGGGTCACGCTCGCGATGAACAATTTCGAGAAGTGCGTCTGTTGTCGGAGGGATGTGAGTAGCTTCTCGAGGGTTTTCGTGCCGTAGGGTGCGTGAATGGGTGTTTGGGGGGGGGCAAAGGGGGGGGGAGAGAGAGGAGAAGAGGTGTTGAAGGCAGTGGTGGATGTAGATGCACGCACGCTCAAAGATGAGTCTGAGCATGAGGCTAAAGAGGCCACGGAAGGGAAATAAGGTCAAAATGAACGATATGATATGATATGACAAGATACTGCGTTGCGTTGCTTTTTCCAGCTCTGCTCGCATGCACGGCGTTTGGGAAGGGGGATTTTGGGGGGTGGGTGTTCCAGTAACCTAGATACAATACAATACAATACAATACAATACATACGGAGGGACGAAATGAGAAGAAGAGGAGGCGGAGGAGCTATTCACAAATGAACGAACGAACGTATTGAGTCCTTTCCCTTCCTTCCTCCCTTCCTTTCCTTTTTCTCTTTTCTCTTTTCTTCTTTTCTCTTTTTCTCTTTTTCTCTTTTTTTTCTTTTTCCGCTCATCATCATGTTCCGACCGTCTTTCTCACTCACTCACTCACTCACTCACTCACTCACTCACTCACTGTAAGCCCTCGTCTTTCTCTCCCTCTCCCTTTCTTTCCATGGAAAGCGTACTTCTTGTACCTGTATAGTAAGAGTAATAGTAGTATAGTAATAGTAGGATAGTAGGATAGTAGGATAGTAGTAAGTAGTATTACTTATTATTTGTAATAGGCGTGGCGATAGGTATGGGAATCTGCTGGGGTGATAGTGAGTGATAGTGATACGGTAGTGAGTGATAGTGATATTGATATTGATGTTGAGCTGCGGCGGGGGGGAGGGGTGGAGGGGTGGAGTGGGTAAGGTCTGCGTCGAGTTTTTGATTGGAGAGAGCTTGTGCGCGTTGAGGTCTTTTGCTTGTTTGTCTGTTTGTTTGTTTGTTTATTATTCTGGCTTTGGAATGTGTTTGCTTGCTTATCGTTGCGAATTACTGTCGCTCGGGACGTAAATAGTACATACACCTTCCACGGCGACAACAATAGTTGCTGGCTCTGGACTCTGATCATTGACTTCCGGCGCGACTGTTCTCCCACTGGGATTTGCCTACAATGGCTGCAGTGGATCATGACCAGTCGAGCTTGCGTCGAGCAAGTAGAGCAGCTGCCATCCATTCTCGCCTCCCATCATCCGCCTTCCAATTACCGTCTGGACTAAAATCGATGCGAGGACTGCCATCCAGTCTCGAAATGCCTTGCGAGAAGCCACAAGCGCAGCACTCCACATATCCGGCAGCGATGGAGTATCATTCTCAGATGTGCCATCTGTTAAAGGGATCTCGCAGCCGAGGCAACTCAACCTGCGTAACGATTGGGTTAATCTTACAATTAACTGACCGAGTCGACGTTTGAAGCGGGATTTCGCAAGCTCAGCTAACATGCTCAGTTGTCCTAGATCGATTCGGTATAGAACGCTTTAGCCATAATCGACAAGTACTCGAGTTCCGGTGCGAACGCGCGAGCACACGACCACTAAGTTGCAAGACACGTTGTACATCTCTACATCAAGGTATAGGCCGGGCCACGAAGTCAACCTCGAACCATGCGTAGGGTAGGTTCAAATGTAAAATATCCGCAGGTCGAGAGAACATATCGTTTTAGAGATGCTGGAAACGTTCATGTCAGATTTCCCAAACTATTCCTACTTGGTGTTTCTCAGTTATGATACAAAAGGTATCAAACCCTTTTTGAAGTCAGAGCCTGGGTTTGGGCTACTCCGTCCTTGAAATCGCCGAGTATCAAGGAGCCTTGAGCGCACTAGCTCGGCTGCTAAATCCCGCTGCTGGAAGAACCCATGTCACGTGGCGTCTTCGAACCAAGCGGTGTTCGGATAAAATCGTCCCTACGTTTCTACTAGAATATGCCTTCGTTCTGACGTAGCGTTTGACTCGCTACAAGTCCTGGTTTCGGCCAGAAAGTTCGACTTTGAGCCAATGAAACACTAAGGGGATCCCCAGATGCCCAGTAGATCTCCCGGCCGATCAGCTTAAGCTCAAAGCTTGACATGAGCCACGTTTCACTCCGGCGTCCGAGTCCGAATCCCAAGTTCCGATTCTGATCTTGGGGCCGGTCTGGTATCCATTTCGAGAGCTGCTTGCTACCCAAGGTGTCTTCGTTTTATGGTTCACACAATTGACGTTTGGAATTGACGTTTGGTAAGAGAGTATACTGACTACCTAGTATGGGAATGGAAACCTTGGTTTGCAAGTAGGACGTCTTACAAGCGGTACTTTGTAAATCTTCATGTTTCTTTACTTTTCGTTAAGCCCCAGATTTCGATCTTCCTGTTAAACTGTGTTTGAGTTTCAAGTTGTGAAGAAGTTCCCGAGCTCAGTCTACGAGACTCGACGTCATGTTGTCGACAATACTCATTCTGGAAATGTCAAAAACACGATCCTATTTCATGCTCGAACAAGGGATCCTCAGAGTTGACGATGAAATAAGCCTTCAGACGAGAGTTGCCGAATGGATTCTCATACAAGCATTAATTTCGAGAGCGTTGCGAAATCGTTTCCAGGGTTTCAATTTCCCAGTTCCAATTATCAATGCGCCCCGATTTACCAGACGGCAGACGCCACCTGAGCGTGGCCAGTCGTAACTTTGCGTTCAAAGATCCTTCTTTGGGCAGAGCTTTGACTGCAAGATGGGAATAGTCGTTCGGAGCTTGTCTCGTCTCAGAAGAGCGCCTTTCCAGATTCGGCGGTCGGCGGTCGGCGGTCTTGACCAGTCAGTCCACCACTGTTCCTCACCATGATCTATTCGTATATAAGTCTGCGATAACTGCTCTTCTTGAATCTTCATTCCACTTCAGCTCTTTCGCATTTTCTATTCTAATTACCAATCATTTTCTTCTTTCAACTTTAATTCGTATCACTTGTTTTCATAATACTCACTCAACTATCTTTTTCAATCGTCAATATGCCTTCCACAATCTCCATGATCATTGCTATCTTTGCAGCTGGCTCTGCAAGTAAGCATTCCCACCCCCCCCGAGGTTTCCCATCGAGTTACAGTACTAACGTGATTACTCACTCAGTTGCTTCTCCCGTTGAGATTGTTGCAAGACAGGGTGGAGGCCAGCCCAAAACCATCCCCGTGGTCGTCGGCAGTCTCACCAACGCAAAGCAAACCACTTTCACCCCGAACACCGTCCAAGCCAATGCGGGAGACACTGTTCAATTCCAGTTCGCGTCAGCCAACCACACTGTCACCCAAGCTTCGGGCGCAGACGCTCCCTGCGCGCCCATGCAGGGCGGCGCCAACAGTACGTGCTCGAGCCGGAGCTGATCAGTCAGATATTTTGCTTACAATTATGGCAGGTGGCTTCATGCCAGTGCAGGCCAACGCGAAGACGTTCATGGCGTTCAACATGAAGGTCACGGATGCAAGCACACCAATGTACATGTACTGCGCAGCGGCCAACCATTGCCAGCTGGGAATGACAATGACCATCAACGCGTCAGTCTTCTTCCCCCATCTTGCCGGAATATGAACGGGAACTAACGACAATCTTACAGAGCCGCCGGAGATGCGAAGGCTTACAACAAAGCCGCTACCAAGCAACAGACAAACACTCCGGCTGACAACGTCGCCGGAGGGAGCATCACCCAAGTTACCAAGAAGCAAGTTCAAGCTGCCGGTGGTGGTGCTGCCGGTGGTAAGGCTGCTGCTGCTGGTGGTGCCGGCGGTGGTGCCGGCGGCCTCCTGGCTGCCTTGGGCGGCGGCAACAAGGGGAACTAAGGTCTGAGGACAAGGAGGGATCGATTCTGCATGGCTTAAAAGTTAATGCCATTGGTAATTAATAGATGGGCAATATGTACATAGATTGCTATATACGCGGCGGATTTGATATCCTCTGCGTCACAATCTCGAATCAAGAGCTAGAAAACCGAGTTGATCTTGGGGTTTTGCCTCATGATCCGATGAATACCTTCTTCTCTGAATCTTTGGTGGACTACTGATATGGCTTTCCGCCAACTTCCCAGATACCTGAACTCCGATCGTGATGCAAAAATTATTCTAGTGTTGCTAAAGCGGCTCCTCAGCTTGCGGAAGCTAGAACAGCAACAGTGAAAGTCTTATCCCGGGAGAGAAAATAGGCGTGGCGTGTTTCCGCGTCTTCATCGTTTCCGATTACCCTTGACCTTAACAAGATTTCTCACTCATCTTACGTTCTATCATGCTCCACTATGAATTGTCGTTTCCCACCCTGAGATCCTCATCACCTCCACCTCGGCCTGCCAAACTGAAGCTCCATTCCGAACAGCGGGTGACCATGAGAATCCTTCCCCGCTTTCGAAAATCAGTATAGGAAGAGAGCGGAGAATCGACCGTCATGCCATGCCGTCACGCGCAAATTCTCCACGAGATTTATCCTCGTCAGTGCCAACATCCCTGCGTATGTGGTAGAAGGAGACGGACATCCATTCCACATCTCCTGAATATCCCGGCTCAGGCTATATGAGTGAATGCATGCTAAGAATCTGAATCAAGTCAACTGATGTGAGAATTCGCGATGAGTCTGCTGCGTCATCGAGGTGTCCACATGCGAGGAAGCCCAAGGCCGATCGCGGCTGAAAATCGTGGGCCTCGCGTCAAAAAAGCCATTTGTTGATCTGGTGCTTCAATCGCTACATGTCCTTGAATGTAGAGCTAGAAGTAGCCGCACGACTTTTGCGGGGGTTGAATATCAATTGTCAGAGTAGAACAAACTGCTGCTGTCCCAAAGCCAACAACAACACAACTTCACCGTACGGCTGGTGTTTTGCATTCGAGTGGATACCATGTTTTCAAGATTTCGACGGATTCTTGAGTCATAAGGACTGGTCACAACGGAAAAGTTCTGGATTGAAATAAGGTGATCGCCTAGGCTATTGAAGATGTCGTCTCGGATATCTCATGTAGCGACTGTCAAAACAGACCGTCTCGCTTACCGCTACCCCTGACGCAGTCACGTGTGTAGGTATTAGCAATCTCTCCGACGAGCTCGCCTCCCAAGACTCAAACCTGGCGGACGACATTCATGAGACGATATCCGTCCCATGGATGGCCAACCCATTCGACATCTCCAAATCAGCCGCCACAACGCCGCAATGGGGTGGCTGGAAGGAGAAAAGTCACCAGTAGCTCTGACCTTGACACATCATGCATCGACCGCATATCGACTCTCTCGTACCTTCCACTCCAGCAGGCGAGCTTCCTTCCGTCTGATGCTTGAGACGGTCTAATAGTTGACACCCTATCATTGTAGTGTCAGGCCCCAGGATATATCTTATCGACTTGGCGGAACCGCCTTGCTCACGGCTGATGTGTAATTACACGGAGCTTTCGAGATATATCTAGATGCGCTTAAGCATATCTGATATCACGGGCAACGCTTTGCGACTGGGTTGAATTTTGGCTTTCAGTTGTAAGAAGCGACGAGGAAGGCCGTATTCCATCGTATTCAGGGCGGCGTGAGCGGGATCTCATACCTGACCAAGCTTAGATCGATTCCCGGATTCCTCTGGCCGCGATGGTTCGAAATATAACAAGATATTGCTCAGCCTACACTGCTTTTTTTTTCTTCTACGTCGCATATTCTGTCTCTTGCAAGCTCACTATACATTCCTTGGCTCCTCAGTTCTGCGAACTTCTACTTCTAAGATTCCTTGTTGCACTTAATCAAGCTTCATCTAGGCCGGTTCTTCTTTAACTATCTGTATCCATTAACCATTTTTGTCGCTCACTCGCAATAAATCGCGACCATGCAGCTCGAGACCCCAACTGTGATTCTCGCCTTCTTCGGTCTTGCTTACACAGCACCAACCAACATGGCCCGAGAGGTTCCCCAAGAACACTCTCACGAGAAGTTCGTCACTTGTCTCCGCACTAGCTTGAAACTCGACAACCCAGAGAAGATCCAGGACCCCATTCTCGGCCTCTTGGGCAACGTAGCCGCAGCCGCAGGAGCAGGGGCGATCACAAACCTGGACTGTCTCCACCAGGCGACAGCTCATCGTGCATTCACTAACGCCAAGGCTGCTGGTGATTTCCAAGCCCAATCCGATCCTCTGATCTTCGCTGCGTTTGAGAGAAATGCCGCAGGTGTTGGTACCGCCAGCGCTCTCTGTAATGAGACAGCCGTCGATCCCGACATCGCTGCCATTACCCAAAAAAAGATTCAGCTTCCGATGGGAGCCGCAGCTACCAACAAGGTGTTGTCCTCGCCCTCGCTAAACAGATTGCTTCTATTGGCGGCAACTCACGAGATGATCTTCTCTCGGGAACCTTCGCTGCAGAAGGTGTGAGTCCTCAACTGACGTTCTACGTATCTCGCTAAAGATTCCAGAAAACAGATGATACGGGCAAAGGAAACACCTGTGACACAGACACAGACACTGAGGGATGTATTTCACGAATAAGCTCATCGTCGACGATGCTACCGCCGCCGAAATGACCGGGGCCGTTGCTGGAGCTTCTGCTGGGAGCTCTGCCTCGAACTCGGACCGTTGCTGCAACTGCTGCCCATGGAGCTTCAGGCTTACCTGCCAAGGCTAATGCCTGTGCGGCTGTTGTGGCTGCCACTACAGTAGTGGGCCGGTCCCAGTCCCAAACACACCAATAATCACCAAGTCTCTCAGCATTTAATGCTCATCGCAAAAGAGTTTCAGCCGCGCCGGCTGCCAAGGCATCGGCCAGCAAAGCCGGAGCCGCTTCAGCCAGCGCAGGATCTGCAAGCCCAGCCTCCGGAAGTACGTTCCCGACCCTTCTTGTTCGTCTCATGGAGCCACCAAGCTGAAACTTCCACCAGCGAACGTCCAGTCCTCCACGGACTCCCTCGGGAGCGCAGCACCCGCCGTCATCCGGTCTTCCGGCGACCGCGCGTTCAGCGTGAACGGCAGCACGTTCGTCGATTCGAGTGCTGCTCTCCAGTTTTCTCGTGTTGGGCAATCATTCAGCTGCTTTCCTTATTGTGCGGGTGGCGGGGGTGGTGGGGGGAGAGGGCAGAGGACGTTGATTTGATATGAGGTAACGGTGTCAATGGGCTCTGTATATCGATGGCATGCGCGTTTTGTGAACGAAACGTATCAAAGGAAATTTTTTTTTTAGTCTAGTCTATTTTCATGCTTTTACAACTGTGCGGTGTCTGTTTCTCATCTCACATCTGCTCGTCACTTTTCAAGCCGTTATCCCATTCATCTCATTGCGGTGCTGAAAAATCCCTCGCCTGGTACTCCTTCGCTAAGCCGCTTGCTTACAACCTCACTGGCAGAATCTGTGCGGTGGAACTGTAATCGAAATCGGTAGTCATCGTACTGTTTCTGCTGTAGGTACTGTGCATGGTCATCGGCCTCGCTGCTTGGAATTTTAGCATTCGTGACGTGGAAACCGGAACCCCCGCCACCATGACAGACTTACCCTGCTGATAGATCGTTTGCTTCGCGGGTTTCTCATCCGTGGGCATCTCCACCACCTGCCCATCCGCCAGGTGCATATACCAATACACGGTGCCGACGAACACGCTCCCGCCCACGATATTGCCCAGCAGCGACGGGATCATGCTCTTCCAGATGTAGTACCCAACCGTCAAGGGCTCGGGAGCACCGAGGAAGAGGGCGAGGGGGATGAAGTACATGTTTGCGACTACGTGGTCGGTGCCGAGCCCGGCGAAGCATACCACGGGGAACCATATGGCGACGATCTTGGAGATCACGTCGCGGGAGGCGAGGGCGAGGAAGACGGCCATGCAGACGAGCCAATTGCCTGGCGCAGGACCGGTTAGCGGGCGGGCCTTCTGGAGAGGGGGAGGGAGGAGGGAGGGGTTGAGGAGGAGCACGCACAGAGAATCCCTTTCAGGAAGATCTGATGCCACTCGGGGACTACGGCCTTGACCCTTGCGAAGTTCAGGGCTTCGTCTCTGTAGGCGCCCTTATCGAAGGTTCCCCCATCTGTGATTGCGGGCAGGCGTTCGTCAGCATCGTCGTCCCGCTACTACGCTTCAACGACCGGCCCGGGAGGCAGGGAGAACATACATCCTGTCAAGATCGCCATGAAGAATAGTACGCCGGCCAGGTTCGCGAAGAAGCTCACGAACCAGGTCTTCAGCAGGTCCAGGAAGCTGCATCGGCGATGGAGCCAGGCCACGGTCGAGTACATGCAGTAGCTCGTAAACAAGTCTGCGCCTGTCATCACCACCATGATGAGGCCGACGGGGAAGACCATGGCAGAGATGGTACGTATCAGGCCCGGAGCATTGTCTCGGAACCATGGGGACGCGCTTGTTGAGAGGGAGAGGGCGGCTCCGCACTGCAGCACAGGTTAGCCTTGATGCCCTTCTCTCTCTCTCCACCCCGAGGCTTAAGCGAGAAGAGGGATATCGATGGTTGGTTGGAGGAGGCTTACCGAGACAAAACACCCACCCATAAAGGAGTTGATGAACATCTTGTCCAGACGGGTGCGAGCCTTCTTCTCGCCCAACCTCGAGACAAGCTCGGTCGTTTGTGCGGGAGTGAGCGCATCCATCTTGAGTGACTGTAGAAGTAAACGGCTTCGATATTACCCACTTCTGGATGCCGCAATTGAACAAGCGATGATGAACCTGATCTCGCCAATCTGAACAAAAAACGAAATGTGGGAGAGAATTCTTGCAGAGACGAACGCCTCGAAGACGGATGTTCAAATCAATATAAATATCGACTGCCTGCAACGCGGAACGGTCCGGACCATCACGCATAGCCACGTCTGGAAATTAACGGCTCAACCTCACTCCCACTCCGGAGGTCGAACCACGTACTCCTGCTTCGTACTTTTAGAGTTCTGCCCACTTCTTTGCAAACTCTGTTTCTCTCGGCTACAGGGTTCGATCTGTTTTAAGATCGGAAATTATTTTTTTTCTTTTTCTCTCTGGGTCGGAGCTAGAATTTCCCCCTCCAGCTCGGGAAGCTTGTGTGAATCTTTTGCAATTTGACTTTTTAAAATAGACGAAAATAAAAAGGGACGAGAAGTCTGGGTACCATCGCCCGTTACTCAATCTGTGGGCAGAGCCGACTTGGCGGCGCCGCGTCGGCACCCAAGGACGGGGACGCACTGCAAGGCGAGACGCCTAGTTTCACTACTATACGGTACCATCGAGGGAGCATTAATCACTCATAGTACTGTGATGGTCTTCGACGTGCAAACGGTGCACCGTTCGGTTTTTGATGGTCAGCAACTAGGATAGTTCTAATTATGTGTCGCTGTTCTATTATTGTGCTGGATTAAAGTGGTGAAAATTCTACTTCTGGCGTACCGGTACTTTTGATATTACGCGTCCATGCGCTGACTTCCATAAGGTACTTACAGGTGTAAATACTATAATAAGCGAGGAATGCAGAAATCAGACTTCTGTTAAAAATACATTTTCTCTACTACCAATTTTCATTCAGTAATTACCTATACTTACTATCGACCTGTGGTTCGTTTTTGTTAAGTCGAGCGGTGTTCCACGCAGACAAGTGAAATTCGATCATTTAAGACAGTTTTTGGCTATATTTTCATTACATTGCAATGTCTTGACCTGCAATGAATGGATGCATCTTTATACCTACGATACATATCTGTAAAGCAATTTTCTCTGAGTATGTAAATACACTACTCTATTATGTTTTATTAATAGTTGTTCTTAAATAAGTGTTTTGATAAAAGTGTCCCGCCTTGGCGGCTCCGACTCGCGGGGGAAGTCGGATCAATTCTACAATAATTATTTAAGGTAGCCGACGATTACACGGCTCGAAAAACTACGCGTCGACCTCGATGCTATTTCAATCAAGGCTGAGATACTAAATATTGCTAGTCGTTATCTAGTGACAATACTAGGTCACAGGAGGAAAGCTTCTGATGATGTTGCTTGACTCGACTTGTATTATTTAGGACTAGGAATTGGGGTGAGGTTGTAGGTACCGGTAGTAGGAAGTAGCGCCAAGGCCTGAGGTCCGTGAACTGCCTTGGTGGCACGTGCACCCGGCTCTCCTTCCACTTTACCTAGCAACATCTTCCATCTCGTGTGCAGCAAGTACGGTATTGCTGCGGTGCTAGTCCTCGATCAAACATCACCACAACAACGACCGCCAAATGATTGAAAGTTTTTCTTGACGATGCCATAGGAAGAGATCAGACCTCGCCTTCATGGTATCATTCGCTCAACCAAAATACAACTGTCTTGCCTGCACCAAGCCACTTGCAACCAGATCTGGATTACTCTCGAGGTGACTGAACCGAAGATCTGCTCACCCTCCAGCCGGGAGCATTGGTTGGAGGTGACGCATACCGCGTTAATATATACGTCCAGAGCATCCTATTAAAGAGCCAGGCCGGTAGCTAAAGGCAGAAAAGAAACGCAGCAAGATACTCTCCATTGCTGAATAATCGATTTGATTAATCGACCCTGGGAGCAAGCTGGAAATCTACCAATACTTAGCACTGACAGAGCTCACTGTCCACCAGCTTAGTAGTTCATGAGCAGGATTGCAAGACTGACAATGTTGAATCATAAGGCGCTTGCGCTTCGAAATCCGCATGGAATATTGCTGGTAGAACTTCAAGCTCGCGGCCTTGCTATCCGATTTATTCTCAGCTAACTCCTTGCATCTGGTTATGATAACGTTGCCGTCCACGTAGAAGATATTACCACATCGCTCCTACAACAAACCTGAGCTTCGCCAAATATATGTGAAAAGGCCGCTTCCGCGTGAGAATTGAAGGCTGGAAGCGATAGGTTATTCGTGCCAGCAATTACTGAGAAAAACAGGGCCGCTTCGTTATATTTTCCTTGGCCAATGTTCTCAACCAGATACTCCCGGCATAATGCAGACCACTTTTACAGCATCACATGTGACTGACGCCTATACGCTTCGTAAAAAAGTGAATCAACAAAACTCAGGACTCCGTTGGGCCTGATTTCTCGGATTAGAGCCCTCTAGAAGCTGAGACTCTAGAAGCTGAGACTTCAGAAGAAACCAAGATGGAATACAGAGCTAGCTAGCTATGTAGCGGTAGCACCCGACTAATCAATGGCATCGACAAAAGCATCCCAGTAGGCCTCGTCGAAGTCCACTTCCTCAAGCTCTCTCTCCGGGCCGCCTCCTATCCCTGCATAAGCGTCCTCATCGATCCTGACCATCGCTACTCCATCCTTCAAGCGAACAAGCTCCTTCACACCCGCCTTCCACCTCTCCGGCCCGCCCACCAGGAACTCCAGCCGCTGCCACTGCGCAGCCCAGCCCCTCGTGCCGGGATACTTGCCCGTCTCGTGTATCGTTGCGCCCTCCACGTGCGTCCCTTCCCTGCCCTCGCCCCGGAACCCGAACGTGGGCTTGACGTTCTCGCTCAGGGACAGGCGGCGAAGACTCGAGACGCCGGCGGGGTGGAACGGTGCTTGCTTGCCCGTGACGAACCCGGCGTCGTTGCTGCTGCTGCTGCTGCTGCTGGAGAGAGAGGTCCAGGTCGCGTGTTGCATGAGGATCAGACCCGTCAGCATCCAGATTGCGGGTCGTCGCGCGGAGGGCTTCTCCCACTGGGCTAGGGTCTCGGCGGCAGACAGGTGGGAAGAGAGCCACCTCCTGGCGGATGGAGATGAGAGTGTGACTTCTCGGAAGAAGTCCTCGGGACTGTGCAGAGGGGGGGGGAATACGTCAGATGGGATGAGGGGTTTTGCGAGGAGGGCGGGGCTGGGCTTGACTTGACTTGACTTGACTTGACACGCACTCTTTGATCTCGATTCTCGTCGTCTTCTCCGATGCTGCGACGCGGTATCGCTGGGCTGCAGCGTGGGAGGCTGATTGCGGAGCAGCGTGGCCTTGTTCGCTGCCTTTGCCGAGCGTCAACGCGTAGTTTCCCAGAGAGGTTCGCTCGGCCCAAGCAGGAGGGGAGTCCTTGATGCTGGGAAGCGTTAGTCTCTTTCAGCTGCGTTGCTTGGGTATCCATATCCCTACTCGGTGTACGCTTTCTCGACATATGGCTCGTAGAAGCTTGGATTCTGGTAGTCGTGAACTAGGTTTCCCAGATGGAGGTGTTTCCCATCGATCCCGGCATTGTAAGTGACATATGTGACTTTGTCCTCTGACATGTTCGTCTTACTTTGAGTCAGATCTTCAACAGGAGATTATTAATTTGATGACTTGGGAGATTGATCGTGTTTAGAGGTCAATTAAGGAAGGTCTATGGAGGATTCGGGTTGAGATCAAGGACGAGCTACCCCGCACTTCTGTCAGGGCCTCTATCACACCACGCCTCCATACCCCGAATTTGGGACACAAACCTAGTGATCCAATCAGCTATGAGAGACCAGAGCAGGTGCGATAGTTTTACAACATAAGATCCTATGGAATGCGGCTATAGCGGGACCCATACCATTTTCTCTGCCCCTTACAATCAACCGAGAAACTTCAGATACAGCAGATCCTCAAAAACGACGGAGCAGCCTAGCAAGAACGGACACGCAGATTTAACATATCCATCAAGTTACATAAAGGGCCTCTCAAAATCTCAAGCCTTCCAGACCTCAGGAGATCGAGTCCTGCAGCTGCATGTTGGCCATAAGCGAGCCTATCAAAACACCGCCCCTGTATTGACAAGCGAGCGAGCGAACGAGGCGAAGAGCCTGATGTCCCAGAGAGAAATCAAGACTCCTACTGAAGCCAACGCAGTAGGACCACAGAGCTGGAGATCGTTCGCACTTCTATGGACGACTGCACCATTTCAATGTATATGTGTAGGACTGTCCAGGTACGTCAGCGTATGTACATAGCTTCCCCCCAACACGTATTCACGGACCAACAACGAGGGCTCGGCCCAACTCCCTCCGTTTACGTTTACGCCTTGGCTACCTTTTCATGTCCTTCCTCAATACTCACTCTAATTCAAATATCCTCCCTTGTTTTCCCAGTCTCCGCCGAATCCAAATCAAAGCGCCTTCCCCCCCCCGCCCGCCCCTTTTACCATCCAGCGTGCTCATCTCTTCCATCTGCTCCATAATATCGATTTCATATCCATTAAGCACGCAAGAATCCTCTCACAAGAAATTTTCCAGCTTGTGATGAATGAGGAGAAGATTAAAGGAGATATTGTGCACTGAATAAATGTATTAGATAAGTACGCAAAGACACTCCCGCTAATGAGCGAGTAGTATAATGAATCGATGAGCTAGCGCAGCCATAGCCAATTACAAATCTTTCACTTGGCACGTCGCTGTACCTTCCCTTTCTGAAAGGTCCTAGGACGGGCCTTCCACCCGCCCGACGTAGGTCGATAGGATTACTATTACTGTTATATATATATATATATATACATACAAAAGGAAACATCTTATAACTCAAGAAGAAGAAAAAGCC